TCTTTTCTAGAAATATTTCTGTAGCTGCCATGACTGTAGTAATTGGATTTGAGGGCAGTGCCAATAAGATCGGCATCGGAATCATCAGGGATGGTGAAGTGCTTTCCAACCCTAGACGGACCTACATCACCCCTCCTGGTCAAGGCAAGTCACATTTCTGCTAAAGCACTATTGTCACCTTCACCTCACTGGCAATGTATCACAGTCTAACACTATGCACGTGAAGTTGACCACGTTATTTTACCCATCAGGCTTCATGCCGAGCGACACCTCCAGGCACCACCGTGCTGTCATACTGACTGTCCTGAAGGAAGCTGCAGACATTGACTGTGGCGTACACCAAAGGTAACACAAGATTCTGGCTCTTCATCTTGTAGTGGAATAAGATTTGAATTTGCCAGATGTTTGTTAAAACAAAGATTGCATTGTACTTTTACTAGGATCAGGGCAGAGGCAACACTATGTGATCATATTAAATCACACATTTGAATCTATGCTTATGCGACGTCTCATAGCCTCCAGATAATTCCCTTTTGAAGAAATGCAGGTGTAATCCAGTTGTTAAATGTTTTTAGTATTGGCCAGCTCAGACTCCCCCTCCCTACATGCTACCACAGACCAGTGATTCCAGCACTTACTCATGTGCACACACAAATGCACACAGGCATTAATTAACTACACTAATAACCCAAACACTATACATTTGCAGGACTAACAAGCCACACACACAGCTATGTGGCTCCATAGCAGGCATCGACCACCGATGGCATCTATCTCTAACACACATACACACACACAAACACACATCGACCTGTGTTTGTCAGCCCGGTGGTGTCCAGGATGCTGACCTCCAGTTGGCACCGCTGGAAGTCAATATCACTGTCAACTCGGAAACGGCATCCACTGTCATGGCAACAAGGGTTCAGGCACACACACCACACACATGCGCATAATGAAAACGTAGGGTGGAAGTAGCGATTAAGAGAGTAAATGACACATTTTTGTCACTTTTTGTTATTTCAGCTGTTGACTTCTTCAACTGAACTTTTAGAGAAAGAAATTCTATTTGATAGCACACGCTTTACTTTATTTGGATGTTTTTTGCTAAGAATTGGTCTATATCTTGGGATCCATATTGTTTTTTGTTATGCTCGTATTCTTGGCTATCACTTCTGTGTTTTGCCCTGTACAATTAAGATTAAAAACATTGTAACAGTCTCTTTGAGCCTACAACTGCAATTTTGAGCTCATAATGAACCTTAGCTTTGTCAAACTCAAATCAGAAACGCCTGGTTTAGTTTATATATTATGGAGACGATAAACAAACTGCCACGCCACCCTTAGAGCAAACCCATGGTGTGCATCTTTTCCCACAGCTTCATGAAAATCTGATCAGTGGCCTCAAGATGCTTTGTGTGATAGTCAGAGCAGGGCCAGACACTTGACAGTGGATGACCTACATGAACTCCTGTTGAGCTGTTGACCTTGCTCCGCTCGCGGCGCGAATGCAAAGTCAGAGAGAGAGGAAAGCGAGCGCAAACACGTAATCCATAATCCATAGCTGCCTGTGTGCACTGAAAACCGAATCAGCTTTCCACAGCAACAAGGACAGGATCTGAAAAAGCTGTGGGTATTATGCAGGAGGCGACAGTGTGCTGGGATCATTCAGCACACAGCTTGTGTCTTTACACCTGTCAGAGCAGACAGCAACTCTGTGCGTGTGAACATGTGTGTTTTGTTGAGATGATGTTGCTTTAGTTTACCTTCTCTTTTGACTGACATTGTACCATTCGGCTTCAGCTCAAAAAGGCTGTGTGTGTGTGTGTGGAAAGTGTTT